ACTGCGTAGTGAGTTACTTACGCAACCTGGCCATATTCTCGGCAGGCATATAGGACGATTTTGTATCGTCATACATATTTCTTTAAATAGTAGCCACTCGTTTACGTTACTAGTACTACTGAACGTGGTAAGGTCCACAGGTGAGGGCCTACTATTTTTATTGGCTAGAGTATAAATCGCATCTGCCAAGCGGGACAGTTCACTCACCTGTACTGTTTGACTGACTTGGCTAGTATTCATATACGAAATATACTGTAGCCTTCGAGAAGCCAAGCCTTCTAGAAGTTCTAAACCTGTTACTTGTCGGTTCCTATTTTATTATTAGTAGTAACTAGTCATCGAACTAACCAAGTCAGAACTTAGGCTACAATATATTATCCTAAGTCATAAGAAAAAATGATTTTTATATTGTTATAAATATATTTTAGGACAGACCATTGTACTTGGCACCCATTTAGATCTCACCTCTTTTGTCGTAGAAGTCAACAATAAAGGCATATATCGACGACCTCGGTGGTCTAGCGGTCTAGCACATCGCTTTACGTCTGATGGTCGCGGGTTCGATTCACAAACATTTGTATTCATGAGTATGATTGTTTGTATCGGTCTGGGTGTTTTCTATGTATGATATGTATGTATTTACGAGAACAAAATATCTATGTACTTGTATCAGTTATCTAGTACCCATAATACAAGCTTTAGATAGCTTAACTTGGGACTAGATGGCGCTGTGTGAATTGCCCTGAGATTATATATCATATCGAACTCGGCTATCATTTCACATTTATGTTTTTGATGGGATAATAGGTCTCACTACACCCCCTCCCCCCCAAACCCGTTGGTCCACTATTTACGGGACATCCTCTATATATACCTATATAATCAATATATATATATATATTTATTATATAGTCCTATATATATGTACAGTAAAGTCCTCGAGTGGCGACCACGGACCGGAAGACGCAGCGTGGGAAGACCTCCAGCAAGGTGGACATAATATACGATCTGGTCAAGATCGCTGGAAGGCATTGGATGCGAGCAGCGCAGGACCGATCGTCGTGGAGATCTTTGGGGAGGCCTATGTCCAGCAGTGGACGTCTTCCGGGCTGCGATGATGATGATGATGATGATATATATTTATTTATTGATTATAATATATTTAATTGATTAATAATATACCTATTTTTAGACGGAGGGCGGTTCTTATAGTTACGTTGAAATACTGTTGAATATTTAATAGGAAAGTGCTGCATCGTCAGCGAAACTGCACGTTGCTACGTGGCGAAGGATTAGAATTGTTATTTTAAAATATACATAATATATGTATAGACACAGAAATAGTACGAGTATGTGGTTCTAATGTGAATTTAGAAATAGAACTGAGCGCTATATACCAATAGAGGTGGCCTTTTATATAAATAGGGTTGTTGTTATTTATTGTTCTCATGATATAATATGTTTACAAACAAACAAAAATAGATCAACATTACCTACTTATCAAACTAAAAGATTTATTAACTAACCATTAGTTAATAAATCTTTTAGTTTGATGTCCTAACATAACATCGATGAATCACTAAATCTAAATGTAAATCACTGTTTTTATTATAGAGGCTATTTTATACTGTCATATATTATTTCACTAATAATTATTGTCACATAATATATGCTGAAATCGCATTTTCAGAATAGAGCAGCTAGTATAAGTTTTCCAAAGTTTACTTAATGTCTAAACATAGCCCCACCTGTCGGTGAGAGGAATTTACCGCAAGCTCCACAGGTAACAACAAAGTTAGATGTTTTTTTATGAAATTGACCTTTGATCAGATATGCACGTGTACCACTAGATGGCGTTATAGCTAAATTAGCGAATCCTTTGAACTGTTTTTTAAAAAACATTGCGTGGCGTAAAAATTAGAATCGTTCATTATGTATACTGTGGTAAATTTTCGATGGGAAATAATCTGCCAACTTACTATCTGCCAACAACAACAATATTGAATGAACTAACCCAATAAAAGGCAAATAAAAAATGTTTATCGTTTTACCTTCAATAATGACGATACAGAATTCCATACAATTCATACAACAGTCAAGCAAGCAAAAATAAGTTTCAAGCTGCTAGCTTTAAAAAGGACGCTTCTCGCATACAACCTTGCACCTACGGGGGTAGGTTAAAAAAGAGCTGTAAGGGGTTACAGCCCTCTTTTCGATTCAAAAGTAGCCTATGTCCTTTCTCCGGGTGTAGAGTTGTAGGCTAACTGTGTACGAAATTACAGTTAAATTGGTTTAGTAATTTTGGCCTGTAAGACTGATAGAAAGACAGACAAAATGACTGTCACAGTTATAATATTAGTGAGGTATTTAATACACTAATCCAAAAAAGCCAGTAAAAATGTTTCATCGTTCTAGCTTCAAAAATGACGAATTTACATAAAAACTTTTATGTCCCTATTTTATTTTACACCCTTAAAAGCAAAATTTTTACAATCTTTGAATGTCTTATTTATGTTTAGTCATCAGCCTCAAAAATAAGTTTCAAGCTTCAACCTGCAAAAATGATAAATTAACATAAACAAAAAAAAAGAAATCATCCCTATTTTATTTTACACCTTTAAGGGTAATCTATATATATATAAAAATGAATTGCTGTTCGTTAGTCTCGCTAAAACTCGAGAACGGCTGAACCGATTTGGATAATTTTAGTCTTGAAATATTCATGAAAGTCCAGGGAATTGCTTAGAAAATAATAAAAACAGCATTTTTTATTTTCCCATACAAACTGCTCATACCTGTCAAACAACGGGTTCGAACATAGGGTTCGTTCAGAAATTTATAGCATAACTACTTGTACCCGCGACTTCGTGCGCGTGGAATTTAACTTTATTTTTTAAAATAAAAGTAACCTAAGTTATTCCTTATTACATCAGCTACCTGTCAATAAAAGTCCCATCAAAATCGGTCCAGTCATTTCAGAGATTAGCCGGAACAAACAGACATACAGACAGATAAAATTTGTAAAAAATGTTATTTTGGTGTATCTACTGTATTTATATTCATATGCATGTAGTAAAAAAACGGTTTTTTCAATATTACAAACAGACACTCCAATTTTATTTATATTCAAATTCAAATTCAAATTCAAAATATCTATATTCATGTAGGTCTATTACAGACTCTTATGATATGTCAAATCTACCGTCAGTTCGGAATGATATCGAGATGAGAAGAACTGACAAGAAACTCAGCTCGTATTTTTTTCAAATAATAGTGGAACATATTTATAATAATACATATGTAGTCATTAAAATATGTATAGATGTATAGATTAAATTTAAAAAAAAGCCATGACATACCTACTTTTTAATTCTGAGGCGGAACAAAGTTCGTGGGGTCAGCTAGTTTTTTTTATAAACTTTGAATGCATATATACTTAGCCTCAAAAATAAGTTTCAATCTTCTAATTTAAAAAATGAGGAATTTACATACCCCCTGTAAAATATAAGTTTTTAAATGTATTTTTTTTACAAACTTTGAATATCATATTTATTTTTATTTAATCAATAGCCTAAAAAATACGTTTCAAGCTTCTAACTTTAAAAATGATACTTCCATACAACCTTTCATCTCCCCTTTCGACCCCTTACAACCATTTTTTCGCATTCAATGTCCTTCCTCAGGCTCTAGAATATCTGTGTACAAAATTTTATTTAAATCGGGTCAGTAGTTTTGACGTGAAAGCGAGACAGACAGACAGACAGAGTTACTTTCGTATTTATAATATTAGTAAGGAGTAAGGATAAGGATTTAGTAATTTTTTTTATAACATTTCTAATACATTTATTATTAATAAACAAAATAAACATATATGTTCACCAAAACGTCGGTAATATCATTCCATTTGAATATTCAAGGTGTATAGCACACCTTCAGCTATATGTCATGTATCAACTTCATTTATTGTGACAACTGTTTCATCAAATGCCAAGCAATACAAGTTTTCTAGTTGTTGTTAGTTCCTGTTGTACTTGTACTGATTATTATTGAATAAAGAATATTATTGAATATTATGATGAATTAATGTAGACAAAAACCGAAAAAACCGTTTTAGATAATCAAATAATAATAAAAAAAACGATTTATAGGTTTAAATAAAACCTTATATTGTTTAAGTTACTTACTACGCCATTACTTAGGAGATTCACGATATTGTCGAAGAAAATAAATATTGTTTTACATGTTCAGTATGTAGGTTTAGGTGTCGTAATTTAGCAGCAGTTTTGTTTTTCGAAATATTTCATAGGCAAAGAAAAAAAATTTTGGTTACCTTATCTGTGGCGTGGTTTAATTCACCTCTTCAATGCTACTGACTTTCTGACTGACACAAAACAGATGTCAGTAATACACTGATTTCACTGTCATGTTTGAATAGTTCATGTCAAGTGATAACATAACCTCAACAAATATAAAAAAATTCCGAGTGTTCGCGTGAATTTGCACTAAATCTTATCCAAACAATTAATTAAATATAATTTCTTTTTGGTACTTCATATATTCGGTTTCAATTTTATACGTTTTTCATATCTGGCTGAGGTCGATCAATACTCGCTTGAACAGTGGCGAGGTACAAGTAACTACAGTTTCGGATGAAAACTAGAAATTTCTACTTGGACGTAGAATTGTAAGTTTAAATCAATACGGTAATTTTTTATTACTAATAGTACAGAAAATATATAACCTATTTAATGGTGTCTCGTACGGACTCGGTCGCGATCGTCGGGTGCGTGTTTCATAGAGTTCCCGTGAGATAAATTTTTATGTAACCACTGTAATGGATAACCGACTCACAGGGGAGAGGCCGCGGAGAGCAGATTGAGAGCGCGCAGATTCGTGGAGGAGTGTGTGCAGTCGTTGTTCGGCGAGTGCGGGGCGGCGGCGGTGGCGGTGGACGTGCTGAGCGTGGGCAGCTCGCGCGCGCTGGTGCGGGTGAGCGGCGCAGAGCTGCGCCGGGTGCGCGCCGCGCTGGCGCTGTCGCCCGCAGCCGCCTCGGTGCTGAGGCAGTCTCCCTCGCTGCAAGCTCTCCTCTAGTCTCGTCACTCGAGCACGACCGCTACTACTGTGAGTGGACCGATATGACTATGGTCTGTTTTTTTTATTCCCGTAGAGCTTCATATATTGTCTACTTCATAAAACTTAACCCTATCTAATAAATCTTGCTATTTGAAAGAAAAATATTGTCTGTTTGTAGCTTAATACTGTTAAAAAATACTGTATGTATGGAAACTACAAAAAATTATATTTGTGTTGTAAATATTGAAAATATATTGTGATAACTTTGTATAAAACTCTAAAAGTAATATTCTAAAATAAGTACAATATTACACCCCTGCTGGTGGTAACATTATTGAAAAATTTATCATTTAACAGTCAATTTAGTTTTTGAGATTAACTATGCAGCAGACTATGGCCATTAACTTTCCACAATGTGCCATCATCCTCTTTAAATCTTAAAATAGGACTGAATTCAAAATTCTTATTTTGTCCTTTAACTCAATTAACTATTTAATTAAAAAATAAAGATTATTTGTATAAATGTTTTATAACCTACAGTAATGTTGTCGTCATCCTACTGTTGCATGTTTATTACTAGTCTGCCGCCCTGGCGAGGACCGGCCACACTAATGTAATCTGTTAATCTCTCATATTTCCTATTTTTTTTTTTATTGGAATATATTATTACTATGTAGACAATTTTTTTAATCTTTTTACTTACAATTAATCAGATCTCATCAAATGAAATGTTTAAAATTTAGTTTTCTAGAATATTTTGATTTGACGGTTCCATTGGTTTAGTAGTTTAGTATCATGGGCGTAGCCACGGTGGGGCAGGGTGGGGCGCTTGCCTCATCCTGGCTGACCTGTAAGGTACCTAACCGAACCTAAAAAAAATTAATTGTCTAAGCACTAACTAGGATACTTAATATCCATAAGAAAATTCATCCTCAAAAGTTGACACAAAATATAACATAGAGATACAGGGTGCTATAGGGTGTGACCGTTTTGTATGAAAAATTTAAGTGGGGTAAGTCTGCAGGGATAGTTTGCTAGTTACATAATATTTTAGATCACGCCCCGACCCTGAGCCTGGCTGACTATCTAGCTAAAAATGGTCACGGTTATAATTACTCGCACTGTACAAACATTTTTATTCGATGTTTGTATTTACAAACAAAAATGGGACTATTTCTATCAGATTTTTAGTCTCCATTGTACAAGCAACCGTTCGCTCGGGACTAGATGGCGTCGCGTTAATCATCTTATGAGTTTTATGTTTTGGGTTTTTTCCAGCGAGATGTCATCCCAGACAATATTAAAATCCGGCCCCGAAGGAAAGGACACGGTGATCGTGGCGAGCCGCGAGGCGCTGTCGGCGCCCAGCTCTGTAGTGCTGCCCGAGCCGCAGGCGGCGCCCGGCCTCATCCTGCCCGACGGCTCCATCAACTGGGGCTGTCCCTGCCTCGGCGGCATGGCCACCGGACCTTGCGGGACGCAGTTTCGAGACGCATTCTCATGTTTCCATTACAGGTGACTATTTTTTTTATAGAGATCACATTGTCTGGTTCACTTCTGATTTTTATGCGATAGGATTATTACGGTTAATATTAAAAATAAAAACCGGAACATCAGTTTAAATTTTCCAGTTCCGTTTCGATCCGGTTCATTTCGAAAACGTGCAGGCCTATACGCTTACGTATACTTTTGATATGACGTTTCAGCGAGGCGGATCCGAAGGGCAGCGACTGCTACGAGAAGTTCAGCGTGATGCAGGACTGCATGGCGCGGTACCCCGAGCTGTACGGGAAGGACGACGACGACGACCTCGCCGCCGCGCTCGAGTCCTCGGCCAATGACCCCGCGCCGCCCTCGACCCCCGCGCCCCCCTCGACCCCCCCGCCCCCCGCACACCCCGCGGACGCCCCCCCGGCCGCCGCCGCGTCTTCGTCACACTAACGTGTCAACACCCACATCATTTTATACTGAGAACAACGAAGAATGGCAGTTGAATAATTGTCCACGATGCTGCCGTACCGACTCGTCACCTTGAGACATGTTGCACGCTCTATATACACGGGACGCTCACCGTGACAACATTATGAGGTCCAGAATTTCTACTCCGTATCGTCACAGTCGCGGGCCGACTGAAACTGTTTGATGGTGTGCTCTAGTAGTACCACGCGCCGTTCTATATACCCTGTGTCAATTTCTCTGCTATGAGTAATTCAAATAGGTCAAATGGTCGATCAGTTTATAATTTATGTGGGTGATGTCGAATTTTTTAAACAAAATAATATAGTTTACAAATAGAAATTAAATTGGTTCGTTTTTAATATGAAAGATGCATTTCTCAAACGTTACATTATTCCATCTACTCTGATCTGCCACTAGTTCTCCGTCTCGCCGCGGTGATGATGGCAAATAAATGATTCCATTGTTGTTGTTGTTCCATTAACAGAGTGTGATCGCTGCTAAGAACTAAACATTGACGTGGGTGCGTGTGCGTATGTCCATCAGTGCATTGCTTAGTTTGTTAGAGTAATGTTATTGTTGTTTGTAGTCATTTAGTACGTAAATAAAATATGTTTAATATATATTAGTCTTAATTAAATAACCTATCAGAAAATGTAATAATGTTAGAGATGAAACGGATAGCAGTTTGACCGGAAACCGGATACCGGATATTCGGTCAACCATGTGGCCGAATAGCCCAATATCCGGCAGCCGGATATCCGGTGGAACTTATCTAACTAATAAATCTATTTTCTTTCTATAACAGTCATTTACCATTGAGTGATTAAAAATTTAAAACTAAAACAAATTTTATTCCTTAAGTAATATTAAGACTAACTAAATAAAGCAAATAATTACTTTAAAAAAAATTAGTTACCCTAGTTAGATATTTTTTTTAATTCGGCCGGATACCTATCCGACCGAATAGTAGTTATGCGGTATTCGGTCGGATAGTGTTAAGGCCGCCGGATAGGCTGGATACCGAATAGTTACCGGATATCCGTTTCATCTCTAATAAATGTACAGTGTTGCAGAATACTTATCAATTTATCTATGTCTATTTCTACATTATAGTGGACAGCGCCACCTACTGGCTTTGTTAAAAACATACTCGATCCCAGTGAGTGCTAAAGGCAATGCGTACGAACGGCTACAATATCACGACCGTGCCAACAGATGGCAGCAGTAGTGTATTTAGGGGCACAAAATTTACAAATAATGTCAGTCAACTAGGTATACAAAGACAAACTAGAGCTCGTGAAAAATATTTATTTGTTGATTTTATAAAATAATACTTGTTTTACGGGCACATGAGACGCACACTCTAGTTTAGTTTCACACTAAACTGACACACATGAGCAGATGACATCTATCTAAGGGCAGCCTCAGTGAAGTAGCCGTCGTTGCTCAGCGTCATTACCTTTAGCAGCTGATGTTTTATAAACGATCGAGGTCAGTGCGGGGTCGCGGTTTGACCCGTGCACAGTGCCGGCAACTCATCTAGCGTCTAGTGACGTGTCGTGTCGTGTCGTGCCGTGTTCACTCGCCCTGTGGATATGGTATACACGAGTTTACATGTAGGCGCGGCGCAACGATCATAAAACAAACAATTTCTCAGGCTCCCGAGTGCGTCCGATCACAAACAATGACACGTTCCACACAATAAAGCTACAGCATGATCATAGCGCCGTTGTAGTTTAAACATTGTTAGGGAACAGCGGACTCCACGCGGTCACCCCTCTAATTAATTCCTGGTAATTTCGCCACAATGAGCTACTTCAACCGACTTCATGTTTATTCATTCCATAACACACGGGTGGTGCCACGCCAGCGTGTAGCTATATCCATAAAAAACCCATGACCGTCGACGCTGTTTCCGAGTTAACTAGACTCCAGTTTAGTGTGAGACTAGACGATAACTACTGTGCGTGACATGTGCACGTAAAACATGTATTATTTTCTAAAATCCATATATAAATCGTTTTCATGAGCTCTAGTTCGTGTTTGTATAGTTTTGCAAATACAATATAATTGTCTGGTTACTGTAATGTTCCTATTTAATTTATACAGGAATCTGCATTTTTTATAATCATGTAGAAGCTCATTTGGAATGAATAAGAGTTGAGTTTCTTGTCATTTCTTCTTAGCTGGATATCACTCCGAACTGACGGTAGATTTGACATTTCATAAGAGTCTGAAATATATCTGTATTTATAATGATTTTCCGATTTGATTTGTTTACGTCGCTGCCGAGACGGCGCGGCGGGATATGAGCGCTATAAAACCGCCACAAGCTGTCATTATAAATTTCATAACACGGATTCTTGTTATTGATAACGTTCCGCGGAGTCCACAGCAGCGTCAGCCGGAACCGAACCCCGTCTGATCGATTGCCAACTACAGTGAAGTGGGTTTTTGCCCGCGCACACGGAACGTGCCAATCTGAAGCGTACAACGTCGCTATTAGAGCGACCAGAACGACTCGAGGCGAGTGCGAGGCGGGTAGGTGTAGATAGCTGTGTATGTGTATGTGTATAGAGTGCCATCCACGTTAGTACAAAGTGCGGCAATGTTGTATATCAGCGTGTTGCATTCCTTGGCAGGCGCATGGGAAAACTATCGCAACACGTCCACTACGACGCGACGGACGACTGTCGGCGCGGCGGTCGCATCCATCGCCGGACACCGGACGCCGGCACTACACACTACACACTACACACTACACACTACACACTACACACTACACACTACACTACACGACACACAATTACACGTAGAAGGCAATATTTATTAAGTTATTATATTACCATCGATAAAGTGTTTTTAAAAAGTTCTTGCACTCGTCGATATTATAAGATTATATTTGTGCAGGTCACGAAACGTCTATATTTGGAGGAGCGATCGGTTATCTGTACTTGAGCCAGGCGATATGTCAAGTCAGCTAAAAGAAGCTAAAGTGTTAAAAATGGATGGAGCTTAATAAGAAGAAACGTCCGGAAACTTAAAACTAGCGATAAATTCATTGTCCTTCGATTGCTCTTGTTTCGCTTCTTTTTTAGTTACTTGGCCATTTTGTTCGATAAATCTAATTAGAAATCTGATGTTAACTGCAGAATATATTATATATGTATATAGATGGAGTTACAAAGGGATTGTTGGGGAGTATTATGGTGATTGTAATAAAACTAGGTGATTGTGTATAAATTAAAATAATTTGCTTCCGTGTATTGTGAATAGATCAATTTCCAACAGGGCTACTGATATTAATATAAATATACGCCAAAATGCGATAGTAAACAGGAAATTATGTTAGTATCGCAGTAGATGTCTTCAACTGTTTTCAAAGTGGGACTCGTGTGCATAGAAATGGATGCCTGCCATGTTGGATAAAACTGACTAAACGGGAAGTCGCTGAGAGTAGAGTGGCGGCCGGCGGCGGCCTCGCCTCACGACGCGCGACGACTGTTTCTGTCGCTTTGTCTGTTGTAGTGTATTGTAATAGAGCAAGAGCCCACGACTGCCAGACATACGTCATTTTAATAAACGTGAAAGTTCTTGTATGTGTGTCCCCAACACAGGTAAGAACGATCCCCAAATATGAAACCTGGATCGTGGTTCCTTTGGCAGGTACCAGGTAACAAAGGTGTAAAAAAAATCATACCAAATTCGTTATTTTAAGAAACTCCATATTTTCATATATTGTTCGTAGCACTATTATAACTTGCGCTGCTCATTGCCAGACACGTAGTGTGGTTCCAACCCCCGCCGGACCCCCTAAACTATACTATTTTAGAAATAAACTTACGTCATTTTAATAAAGCTGAAATTTATATATATTATTGAGAGTTCTCTCAAACTGAGTTTCCTAAATTGCCAGACAGTTTTCTTGGTTCCTTATCATACCAGACTCATTGAAACCGTATATTGGGTAACAACGGTGTATACAATTTCATATCAAATTCGTTATTTTAAGATGCTCCATTTTTTCACATATTGCTCGTAACAGTATTATAACTTGCTCTGCTCATTGCCAGACCCTTAGTGCGGTTCCAACCCCCCGCCGGACCCCCCTAAACTATACTATTTTGTAAATAAACTTACGTCGTTTTAATAAAGCTGAAATTTATATATATTATTGAGAGTTCTCTCAAACTGAGTTTCCTAAATTGCCAGACAGTTTTCTTGGTTCTTTATTCCACCAGAATCATTGAAACCGTATATTGGATAACAACGGTGTATACAATTTCATGTCAAATTCATTATTTTAAGATGCTCCATTTTTTCACATATTGTTCGTAGCATTATTATAACTTGCGCTGCTCATTGCCAGACACGTAGTGTGGTTCCAACCCCCCGCCGGACCCCCTAAACTATACTATTTTATAAATAAACTTACGTCATTTTAATAAAGCTGAAATTTATATATATTATTGAGAGTTCTCTCAAACTGAGTTTCCTAAATTGCCAGACAGTTTTCTTGGTTCCTTATCATACCAGACTCATTGAAACCGTATATTAGGTAACAACGGTGTATACAATTTCATATCAAATTCGTTATTTTAAGATGCTCCATTTTTTCACATATTGCTCGTAACAGTATTATAACTTGCTCTGCTCATTGCCAGACCCTAAGTGTGGTTCCAACCCCCGCCGGACCCCCCTAAACTATACTATTTTATAAATAAACTTACGTCATTTTAATAAAGCTGAACTTTATATATATTATTGAGAGAACTATTAAACTGAGTTTCCTAAATTGCCAGACAGTTTTCTTGGTTCCTTATCCTACCAAACTCATTGAAACCGTATATTGGGTAACAACGGTGTATACAATTTCATATCAAATTCGTTATTTTAAGATGCTCCATTTTTTCACATATTGCTCGTAACAGTATTATAACTTGCTCTGCTCGTTGCCAGACCCTTAGTGTGGTTCCAACCCTCCGCCGGACCCCCCCAAACTATACTATTTTATAAATAAACTTACGTCATTTTAATAAAGCTGAACCTTATATATATTATTGAGAGAACTATTAAACTGAGTTTCCTAAATTGCCAGACAGTTTTCTTGGTTCCTTATCCTACCAAACTCATTGAAACCGTATATTGGGTAACAACGGTGTATACAATTTCATATCAAATTCGTTATTTTAAGATGCTCCATTTTTTCACATATTGCTCGTAACAGTATTATAACTTGCTCTGCTCGTTGCCAGACCCTTAGTGTGGTTCCAAACCCCCGCCGAACCCCCCTAAACTATACTATTTTATAAATAAACTTACGTCATTTTAATAAAGCTGAACCTTATATATATTATTGAGAGAACTATTAAACTGAGTTTCCTAAATTGCCAGACAGTTTTCTTTGTTCCTTATCCTACCAGACTCATTGAAACCGTATATTGGG